AGAAATTGGGGGAGGGGGAAGAACCAGGGATGCAAAAAGGCAGCACAGACACCACTGCTCATGCACTGGACTTTTCAAAGCCCCCCTTCCTACAGCAGTTCCTTATTTCCATATACCCACCCCTAAGAGAAAGCCACTCCTCAAATTAGGGTATCCTAAGGAGCAGCATCTGCTCCAATCCCAGTAAGGAACAAAGGAGTCTTCCAACATAAGGTGCATGCATGGAACTCCCAAGATCCCAACCATGGCTGAAGTCTACAGAAGGGTTTAATTTTAACACTGGAGTGCTCCAGGTTTAGAAGCAGGAGCAAAGTTTCATTCGTGCTTTGGTGAGTAAAGATGATGTCTAGGCACATTATCCTGGGTCCATGTTGGCAACCAACATAAGCCAGTTTGTGCTGAAAGATACTTCTGGTAATTATTTAAAATATGGTCAAATTTAAATACAGGATCTTATGACACACTGAATAATAGCAAAGTCTTAATCAAAAAGTTTGTGTCTATTGTTGTATATTGGCATCACTGTAGTTGGAACCGAAAGAATTTCTGGCATTTTGCATAGTATCAATCTGAGCAGCATAATGCTACCGGTAGCTGTTAAATCTATTTCCTTTCCTCTTTCAATAAATCAGATTTTTCAGGCAACATGCAAATATACAGATCAAATTTCTATTAACAGCATTGTCATTTCTATTTGAAATTAAAGTAACAAATCAAATTAGGAAAGTTATGGACCGACATTATCGAATAAGAAAACTCCCTCCTATACAGCTACCAAAGTAATGCTTGATTCAGCAAAAGCGAAGCATGTAAAGCAACATCCTGTGTGCCTCCCTGGCTAAACCTATAACTGGATGTCAGCAGTGCTTCAAATACAATTCCAAATGGTGCTTCAAAAAAAATCAGAAGGACTCCAATAGCACCTTTTCTGAGTAACACGTTTTATTAAGTCATAAACTCTTGTGAGTTGCAGCTCACTTCATCAGATGCACAGGTTACATGAGATAAAGCTGCTTCTACATAACCTGTTTTTTTCCTCTTTTCCCATCATTTCACCACGATTTAAATCCTGTTTCAATCTAGCCACTGTATGCATCACAATTCAGTAAGATGCAGCTCACAAAAGCCAATGTCTTTTAATAACATGTGATACTCAAAAAAAGTTTCTACTAGGGCTCTCCTGAGTTTTTGTTACCATAGACTAACATGGCTTTCTTCCTAAAAATGTGCTACAGAATGCACGGGAGAATGCACGTTAGCACTCTTGAAGGCATCTGCATCTTTTTCAAGACATCACACACCTCTTATTCGATACAGACTAACAGCTGCTTTAAGGAGTTGTAGTCAAGGGCAATGTTTCTCTCCCCTATGCATTTTCAAGCACTTTTGAAATTGAATCTGAAGTGCTGCATATAGCCCTATAAAAGATGGACAAAAGAGGATGGCATGAAGTTGTTCAGATTGTTCTTAAAACTGAGAGCAATGCATACAGCACCAGCTAATCAACCCTGTCAGTTTGGAAAGACATTTGCCTGTTGAGATGGGTAAGGAACTTTAATATAATACACCCTTAATATCCCCATTTCCAAAAGATGGGTAACAGTTTCAGTGTTTTCTGTCCTTAGTCATCACTACCAAGCAGTTCTGTGGACAACTTTTACCTGCATGTGTATTTTGCTTGTTGGGAGATCTTGGTGTGTTTTAATTCACCGGACTTCTGAAACAATGGGTTAAAGTAATACATACAGGGAACTGATGAATCTCCACTAGGTGGGCTAACATTCCACATATCCCAGGCAGGCACAGGAGTTAAACATTTATGAAACAATACAGAGAAATCACAGAGGTGTTGTTGATAATACAAAGGATCATAGAGTCCAGATTCTACAAATGCACTTTAGATGGCTTTAAGAGAAGTCAAAGCCTATAACTTTTTGAAGATAGTTACACATTTTCAGTGGTGCTGATGAAACCAGATGTGGCACAGTATTTGGAATCATGTTTATAGTCTGTACCAGTATATATAATTAAGGACCAGATAAAATTATATGGCAAAGAGAAAAAGGGACAGAATCTTCTATGCAAATATTCATTTTCAGTTGCCTCACATGGCCAAATAAAAATGACATATGAACTACCTGACCATAATGTGGTGCAGCACGGCTTTACTGCTCGTTTAATTTTTATTAAATCACTGTTACTTTCAGTTTTGAATTTTCCCAAGCTAGATCTATTATTTTACATTTTTACTATCACCTTTGACATTTGAAGAGTCAAACATTTTATATTTAATAAACTATGATGGGTGACAAAATATTTCTCAGATACAAAAAGCCTTTTTAAAAATAAGTCAGCATGCACACCTGCTAACCACCATTGTTACATTAGAAATTTACTTGCTATATTTTGATTCATTGTTATTCAAAATTGAGCTTATGTGCATGCCATAATTTACTAATTTTATAAATTCAATGTTCTGAAATGTCTTATTTTAAAGCAAAATTTTAATCCTGTTGGAAGCAACTGACTCCCCTCTCAATTAAAAATAATAATAATCATCTCTCCCGTAAACACCAAAGGCAAAGGAATGCTAAAGAAGATTTCCATTAGGCCCCTTAATGGTCTGTTTAAACTTCTAAATTGTTTCAAAGGTTGCTCTCTGGAGCAACATGCTCTGTCTTTACTAGGTCTGGGTTCATAAATGCTTAGTTTGCAATCAGTGCCTAAAGTAACAAAGAGGTATCTTCGTTTCAACTACAGAAAATACCACCTGCTGCCATCATGCCTTCTCTTATGTTAATCAGCCTTTGGGACAGAATGGTAATCATTAAGTGGCCCAGCATATACTTTGCATACTAATATAGGTGCTATACATCTCTGCGAAGGGCTGGCAAAAACCCATCCAATAACCACTAACCTAAACAGACCAGTACTTTGATTCAAAATGAGGCAGCTTCCTATGCTTATGAAGGCTTCTGTACCTGGCAAATGCAAGAGAACCTGAACCAGGAACTCTAGAGAGCCCTTATCTTGAGAAGGATATTTATTTCCATCTCCAGGCACAGAAAGGGGATGAAACAACATCAAATATGGCAGTTTCTTTTTGCAGACACACTTCGTCTCTCCCATGGCATATGACAGACCTTCTGTCTACAGTTTGGGAATCACTATCTTTACCACTATCTATGGCTCAGAGAAACAATTTGCTTTGTTTCAATTATTAAGTTGAACAATTCAGCTTTTGGGAATTAGTTATCCTCGGTTCAAGATATTTTTTTTTTAAGTATACTACAAGTAGTCCTCACCAACATAGTAGGTAGATGCAATTATCATGTTTCCCCGAAAATAAGACCCAATCTTTTTTTCTTTTTCTTTTTGGCCTCCAAAAGAGGCACCAGGTCTTATTTTCAGGGGGGGGTTCTTTCCACTTACCTCCAGCACCGACAGGGCCCCCCTCAGCCAACCCACTTCTTCTGTGGCCGAAGGAGCAGCTTCATTCTGCAGCTAGAATGGAGCTCCGGCCTGCATTTCACAGTCAGAGGCCTTTCCGGAATCCGTAGCTCAGTTCTTGGCTGCAGTGGACTTCCAGAAAGGTCTCTTGACTGCAAAATGCAGGCCTGGGGACATCGCAGAAGTGGGCCAGCAAAGAGAGGCCTGGATGCAAGATAAGTAGGTGCGGGGCATGTGGGGCAGCTCCACACACACCCTCCAGCTTGATTTTTAGTTGTGTGCCTCGCCCAAAACTTGGGCTTATTTTTGGGGTAGGGCTTATATTAGGCCCATCCCCAACAATCAAACTAGGGATTATTTTCAGGGTAAGTCTTACTTTTGGGAAAACACGGTACTTTCTCACATGAGGCTATGAGGCTGTACCTGGGAGGGAAAGATTCCAAAAACTCTGCTGTTAAAACTTATAAAAGAAAAAAAAACTTGTTTCCATCTTTTGGAATTTTTACCCTCAGAATCAATTTGAATACTGTGCTGCTATCGACCCCAAACCTACGCATTGAGTCAGTAGTCCTTGTACATTCCACATTATGGTTACTAACTCATCCCTCCAGATAATTTATTTTAAGAATAAATGCAGCAATAACTAAATCCAGGGTGCTTATTAAAAAAAACCTACAGACACCCAAACTGGATTTAACCAACAGTAAAATACCATAATGAGGATCAAAACAGTGCCAGGAATCATGCAGTAGGACCCTGTTCTAACAACTTGGGGCAATATTGCACAGTGTAGGAACTGCTTTCACCCACATGCAAAAACTTATTGCTACATTGCCCCCTTCCTCCCCACATCGGTTTATGCTATAGAATATACAAGTTCTATACAAATAACAAAGGAAGAAAATTATAAAGGCAACCTGGTGTCATTATTTGGATCATTTAAACTTTCACAGTTTAATTTCAACTTTCAAACCAACTTCAAGATTTCTTCCTCTGGACTGCAAGAAGCAAAAGCTCTGCACAAGGAAAGATCCAATCGGGTACTTGCACAGCAGATGGGTACATGTTCTGTGTAAATTCCTTCTGGTGTAGATGCACAAAGACTTTAATGGCAGAAATTTGGGGAGGAGTAACTGAAAGTATCAATTCCAATCTTTCCATCTTGTCTCCACCTACTTCATTTAATGATCATGAGCTCTTCTGCATGGAAGTCATCTGGGATGAATGGAGGACCTAATACTAGAGTTTGGCCTCTCACTGCTTGGGAAGATTTGTTCTTTAAAAAGCTGTACAATATAATATAAAAACTAAGGCAGCTTTACAACGTAGCTGGCTCAGTCAATTCCATTGTAAGGTAGAGCAGCAGCCTACACATTTTCTAATGTGAACACAACACGATTCAATGGTTTCCTTAAAAGCTTTATATAGCAAAGGTTTTTTTAAAAAAAGGTTTCATCACCAAAACATGGTGTCAACTCTACTGTCATATGCAATCTTTTCTAAAAAAATGTTGACCCATTTCCAAAAATCCCATCATAATTTGTTAATTCCTCAATATGGAGTCCTCTTGCTCCTTGAATCTGCTGGATGTCCCAAGTCAGGAACGGCTATTAGCTGCATCCAAAGAGATTGTTCATGGGCTTTGTTGCTAGAACCAAGTAAACAATATTCATGGCCTCTTGAAGTCCTAGTCACTGCATTCTCCATATGAAGCGGACGATGTAATGCAAGAGGCGCAAAATTATGATCTGATGATTTATTCCTTGGTAATCCAATAAACCCTGAAAGAAGAAATAAAGTTATTTTAAAACAAGCACCTTCCATATGAGACAGTAAAAATTATCAAATGTATAGGCCAACTTGGGAATTGCACTACTAACACATAAAGTACTTTGAATAACTTTAGCAAAGCAGAAATGATAAAGTATTAAGCTGGCCAATAAGACAGCTATTAGGGCAGAGGTCCCCAACCTTTTGGGAAATCAGGTACCGGTTCCATGCAGAGGTTTTTCCTCAGACTGGAGGGTGCGTAGTTGTGTGTGCTGCCTGCATCTCGCAGATGGGGCTTTGCTTGTTTGTGGGGACCGGTTACAAACCTTGTTTGTGCAGCCCAGTACTGGTCCACGGACCAGGGGTTGGGGACCCCTACATTAGGGTACAGCTAGGATTTTAACAAAGCAGGATCTCTTATTGATTTTTGAGGTTTTTCTATTGCAATCATATGGACTATATTTTTATCTTTACATCTCACAGAGAATAATGTGCATGTATGACAAAGCTTTAGTCAGATTACTATATGAGTAGGTTTTGCATGAACACTAAACTTCTCTTCATTAATAAATGGATACCGTCTATCATTTGTTTTTAATAAATGCTATAAACAAGAAAATATGCCTTTTCATGCTTCAATTTTTCTTTTTCTTAGCAGGCAATCTTCATGTTTTAAATTTAACCATAGAATTGCTAGCTGATAGCACAGTATAAATTTGTGTAAATCAAAATTTTGAAAGGAAGAGATCAGAATATAATGGCAGGATCGTGCTTCTAGAAAGATCCAGTTGTTGTAGTGTGCTTAAGCCCCTCTAGAGCCTCTGTAAGCCAAAAAGGGACTGGATGGGCAAATAACCTGACTGAGCTGGTGTTAAGACAAAGGGGGACTATTGTTATTTATTGGCTGCAAATCAAATACAGCATGGTTGCTATTTATGAATGAGTTTCAAGTAAAAAAAGTCATGTTCTACTATCTCTACTTACTGGAATCAGAAAATAAATAGTAGTAACTGGTCTAATGTCATGGGTTATAAATGCTGTAAAAACAGAACTCCATACATGATGAATGGTAGAGTATATGTTGGAAGGGATTGTTAATCCTTAGCCTAAATTATGTGCATCTCATATTCAACTGAATATATTTGCTTTTGGCCTTATAAAGTGTAAATAACAATATTATACTTCAATCCTAAAGTCATTCTTTCTGAGACATGTATTTTATTAATTTTTTATTTATGGTTCATACAGAGCAAGAGTCCTAGTGACACAGAGTTTAGAATGCAGTATTTCAGGCAAACTCTGCTGCAGTCTGAAGTTTGATCCTGATGGGGCTCAAGGTTAATTCAGCCTTCCATCCTTCCAAGGATGGGGTAATATGCTGACATTGTAAACTGCCCAGAGAACACTGTAAAACTCTATAGGGTGGTATATAAGTCTAAGTGCTATTGCTAGTGCTATGTTAATGTGATGCAAAATAACTTGGGGACATTCAGCAAACCATGGAAAAAAATGATTAACTCATAGCATTTTGTATTTCTAGCTAATTCTTTTTGCCTATGTCCATTTTCTGTCACTGATTGATGTCCTCGTTGTCTGCCTCAATCATGCTTTCACAACTCACTGTAATGTATTCATTAAAATGGATAGAACACAAGCTCATTTAACATGCTCTAAAACTCCTGTGAGACAAGAAATTAACAAAGTAAAAAAAAGCATCTATAGACAGCCTAATTTTCCTCATGAATGGCAATTTTTTGACATTTCACCTTTTATGTGAAGAGAGACTCCAAAATCCAGTTGACTTAGAAATAAAGGCAGAAGTAAGTCTTGTGAATGAATTGTATCTTTAACACTGTGTTTGGAGTAACTGTTACTATATTTAATCTTGTTCTGTGCTGCTTAATGTGAGGTTTGTTACCAGAAACAAATGGTATATAATTTATGAGATCTGGTAGAGCACACAGAAAGGGGGAAAAACAGGAGATGCCAAAACCAAGATGGTATTCTCAGAACATAATTGTGTCATTGTTTAAATTGTTGACTCTTGAAAATGTTACAGAGATTCCCAAAGGATGAAATCTGGTAGCTATAATTTATCTGAGAAACCAGTGATTTGGTGTAATGTATGCCAAGAACCTAAATAAAGCTATTGGCAATCTGTGCCAGAGCTAATGAACTAGTGAACCTCCAAATTATTCTCAAGTGACTCCACCTGTATAAACACCCACTGCTTTTTTGAGTATAAATACATGCAGATACACTTGAAAAGATGCAGTCATGTAAGAAAAAGAAGGCACACACGTTTGTGTGCTGCCTTGACTTCAACTTCCACAAGTCTCCTTGATGAAAGGAAATAAAGCAGATAATCCAGGGACAATCAAAGCAATTATTTCTCTTTCAACACTTCATTTAGAAAAGGTTGTTTTAAACTAATTAAATACAATTAGCATATGGATTAGAGATTTTAATTTATTTGCATCAAACAAACACTAAAAAGTCTCAGAAGACCAGCTACAGTACATACAATATCTTGAAAAACCTCGGACTAGTAGATTTATTGTGATATAAGCTTTCCTGTAGTAAAGCCTATTCGGTCAAATGCAGTCATAAATCTGTTTCAAAGATCTTGAGTCTAGCAAGAAGGTAAATTATTTTATAGTAAGAGATGCACAATTTAACAGTTCCCCTAAAAGCTATTGCAAAATTGGGAAGTTATTAAATTCATGGAAAGTAATTATAATTATACTTAATTCAGATTAAGGTTAAAAAAGATTGGTTTGCTGCCTATAGTCATTTCTTTGTCCTATCCATCATATTCTTGCACCACTGTACTGTAGTTGCCTTTGCTTTAGCTGGAAAAAAATCAGATGGTGCAGCTCACCTAAATCCAAACTGTTTACATCTTTCTTCAGTTTTCAAGCCAACCAAAGATAAAACATTTTTGATATTTCTAAAAACCAAGCAAGGGAAGGACAGCAGCAGCAAACTCTTACTCAATTCACCTGACCTAATGGGATTCTGGCAAGGCTATGGCACTTCCATCCTTACATAATAAGATGAGAGGAAATCAGTTCATGCCTGGAATTCCTCTAAGAGCATTCTAACAACAGCTTGTGACTTTTACCTTGGAAGTACAGGATTCTTCCAAAATTAGCGTTTCACAAATTTACTTTCAAAATAATGCTTATTTTGGCTTGTTGTTTCAAGGAATTACTATATTGCCTTTCAAGGCAAACTTAGCTGCAGTATCAATCATAACAGAGAGAATGCATAGGTTTCAGGGGTTATGTTTTTCTCCATTGCCAATTATGGTTAAGCAGATGAAAAACCACAAAAGATGGCAATGTCTCCAAAACCTGGCACAAACATCAATTCATAAAGAAGACAAAAAGCATACTACTCCAACAAAATCCCCCAAGAACCAATATAGATGTGAAATGACAGGGAGTCTCTATGAAAGGGCAGAAGCAGACATGCCCCTTCCTCCATTCCACATATGCACTGGTACTTTACATAGACTTCTCGTTTGTATGGTGTAGCTTTTCAAAGGAGAGGGAAGAATACAAGAGAAACATTTCTGGGGTATGCTTATGGGGATGCATAATGAAATGCACACAAAAAAGGCATGCTCTCTCTATGGAATCTACAAAAGACAAGACATTATTCTGTGCTGGAAATTGTAGCTACAGTACTTACAAAAGAAAGGTAAATCAAATGACTGCAGTGTAAGAGATTGATTTTCTATATTTTATTTTTTTCCCCATCTGCCAGAGACTTGTTAAACCCCAGCAGATCTAGAAGAGTGTTTTGCATGTAGTAGCTTTTTCCAGTTTAATGAAAAGGGGTCCCACCTTAGTGCGTCCATAGCCTGTGTTCTAAAACTATTAAAATATAGTAAAGCACATCATGATTTCTCTAAATATCCACAAAAGAGAACATGTGTGGGGGAGAACTTTGATATATAAAGAACAGTATCAAAGCTGTTTAGTCTGTAGAAGAACTAGGAAACTGGCCTCAGATAAATTTATCTTAGAAGCCAAAGTTTAAGATTGGAGATTAAAGGATATCATCTCTTGTCTGTTACAAATAATTGACCATCAACTCTAGAAAAAGAGACAGGCTAATTTACCACAATACAGTGCTCAGTTTTAAAGAAAGCTTGAATTCAAATGTTTAAAAAGTCTACCCCTGGTCTAGACAAATGTCTTCCTTTCACTAAAGCATATAATTGACATTTGTTATGTAACTACAACATAGCAAAACAGAGGGCAGAGTCCAGATGCTACTTTAAACTACTTGGCAATTTCATTCAAAACAGCAAGTACATCTTGATGTTTGAATACTTACATGCACAGGGCCATTCATCTTAGTGTGTGCATCAAACACTGGTCCAAATTAAGTAGAAGGCCCCAGCTAACCACATCTTTTAAAATATTTGGATTATTTTAAATAACAGAGCTATGGGATTAAAGGCTGAACTGAAATAAAAGCAAATGGCAAAAAGAGAGCCAAAATGTGCAATTGAGGTGAAATAAGCAGCTATAATAAGAAAGATGGACAAGGAAATGACAACAGAGACAACAGACCAAGGTGTAAATTCTAATGAAACTGCCAATGAAATGAAAACACTTGTCTGTCATGAAAGTGTGACATACTGTACAACTATATTTTGAGACCACTGAGTGACATTAACTATATGTCTCTTGTATTATTGCAGTATCTCTTGAGAACATGCTGCTTTTGCCAAGATCATCACAACATGAACTTTATTGATGCTTTAGGAGACTCCAAGGAAGTATGTACTTGTTTCCTCAACTTAGCAGTTTCCTAAGGGGTTAATTTCTGCACACTTGTCACTTCCATAAAGCTTGATGTAATGCAAGTGTCTGCATTGGCACAACAGTGGAACGAAGAAATATCCAAATCAAAACAATCTGCAAGTTCAATCCAGGGAAGCAGGTGCATAGGAAACAAAAACAGACCTTGAAAGCCACTTGCTCTTTCTGAAGTCTCCTGTGAATTTACTATTGTTATCAGTTATAACATTTAGCTGCACATTCTACTCAAGTTTCCAGATATGAATGAGGAAACTGTCTAAAATCCAATTCACATATAAACTAAATGACTCATCATAACATTTCATTACAGAACACCCTTCTGCACGTTATTTTCGTGTATGACAAATCAGGTGTGTGATGCTTTGCCAGCTGAACAAGAAAGCTACATAGTCCAAAATAAAGGCGTGAAAAACCGGAAGGAGCTAAATATAAAACATACTAAATAGCCAAAGAAGTTTAGCCAAAACAAATAGCTAATGGGAAGCAAAACAGTATTGAGGAAATATTTCTCAGGCTGAAAACAGCAGCCTGGAAAAAACTGGTACATCATTGGTGCAAATTTAACCAGTGATGCAAATAACATGGGCAATAAAAGGAGAGAAATGGTAGTGGGAAGCTTAACCTTTTCTTCCTTCCTTCCTTCTGCCCTTTGGTTGTGGTCTCTCATGGTGAAGATTCAGCATCACAAGCTCACCACCACCTTTCCTACGCAAATGTCTCCTTCCCCCTTCTCATGTATTCATTTTAAATAGTCAACCTATGAATGTTTCACAGACACTGTAGGAAAACAAAAGAGGAGTCTATTCAATGCTGCTATCACAAATCAGTTTGTGGTAACAATATGTGAACTTCTCAATAGGAGTATTAGGTCTGTCAACCTAAAAGCCAAAGACCCACACCATATACAAGGACAGCAAAAGGACAGGATGAATGCCATAGAAATGGGAAAGACATTTAAGTATAGAGGAAGATAAACAGGTTTATACGTACATTTAAGCAGTGCTTTTTTTTTTGTAAAAAAAAAAAAAGGTGCTGGAACTCACACATGTCATACAACCCCGCCTTGCCTACCCTACAAGGTTCCATCCAAAAAGGTGCCGGAACTCCGTTCTGGGCGTTCTATGAGAAAAAAAGCCCTGCATTTAAGACATACATATCTTGCATATACAAAATTTCAGCAGAAGGAACCAAGCTGCAACTGCCATTTGTAATTGGACAATATTAAATTGGACATATTGAAATACAAAAAGGATCTACTTATGTATGACCCAAAGCAACACAGAGCTATCTATTCAAAGTTGCCACATACAATACAAATTTCCCATACAGTAGCAGAATGCATGGAACTATATTATTTGATTCTCATTACTCTTAAAATAATTAGAATCATCCACAAACTCTTAATTACACACAAAATTATGATTCATAAGCTATTCCATTTACAAAACGCACCAAGAACCAATAAGTAATCTATCTCTGTTTTGTCTCTGAAAGGCATTTATCATTTTATTGGTCAAAATTGCCATTTTTCTCCTTTAATTGTAATCCAGCTTACTAATATTTCACAACTCAAGCATATACTATCATTTTACCTCCATACCAGAAAAACATTTTGTGCTTTAACTTCTTAATATAGGGCTCCTGCTAGAATATTGAGTAGAAGAAAAAAAGCATCTTCCATTTCCTATTTCCTTTGATGCCTTGTCCCCTTCCCCAGTACAATTAAAGGATACTAAAACTCAACCATCATGTGAACAGAAACTTCTAGAACAATTTGTTCCCTGGTTGTTCTTCATCTATAGAACCCTGTTCAGAATTTTATGGAGAAAAAAGGGAATGGGTACATGCAATTTCAAAATTGTGAACTGAATATTATATCTCAGAATACATATTACCATTTTAATTGAAAGTTAGTACAGAGACACATTTATTTTACATTGCTTCTGAGGTTTCCTCTGGCTCATTCAGTGTGCACCAGAAGAATTGGTGCATACCAAATTGAATTGGCAATAAGGTGCAACGTCTTGGTGAAGGAAGATGCATTATTCCTGATTCCTGTGACACTAAGCATAGCCACTTACACAAGCATATGGAAGATTACTCTCAGTATGCTTTTTGCCCCCACCCCCCAAAACAGAAACAGTTAGCCTTTATCCTGCTGAATGTAGAGTGTTTCTTATGTTACAATTACTGGTAACATTAATTGTATTATGATCACACAATTCTTTTTTAATGGGTCTAACAATATATAATGCACTACTTTTACTGTTAATATTTAAACTATTTTATATCTAAAATAGCTATTTGTATCTGAAATAACTAAGACCTCCAAGATCTCTTCCAACTCTGTTGTATCTGTATCTCTCAGTTCCAAAGACAATCCTGTCTATTCTCAGTATTTCCACACATATCCCAACCTAATGCCCTTTCAAGTTTCCGTCATAGGAATTTATTTCATTCATCAGATGGTGAATATAATTTATAAATATGTATGTGATAATACAGTTGATTAGCCTTTGATATTTTCTTTTATAAAAAGCTTTCCTTGTTTCTCCCTTCCACTACAGATACCAATGACTTACAAAGCATATCAAACTATCTCATACAATATATAATTAGCAATCACACAAAACAGAAGTACATTGTGGGGTTCCTGCATTCAACACATGATGACAACCACTGATTTAAAATAGAAATTAGGAGCATTGATTGATGATACGGCTTTCAGGGCCATTAGCATGTACATCCAATCCTAGGAAAAGCTGCCAAGGCAGGCTATGAATTTGATCATTGCAATAGAGAAGTTGTGATTCTCTAGAAATCTTTCCACCTAAAAGAGAAAAAAAATCCCCATAGGTTTTCCCTCATGAATGGAAAGACATCTAGGGGACCCTAAAAAAGCAGCCGTGGAAAGGCTCAACATCCTCCTCTCTAAATTAGTTTGATCCAATCTGCAAATTTCTGTAACTGCTTCAAATAAGATCAAGTTTTCAGTGCTTTTTGAAATGAATCTGTGTTGTAACATTTCAAAAATCCAAGAAAACAGATAAAGCTAAAACACTACTACCTCATTATCCCAAAAGATGGTACATGCCACTTATCTTAAAAAAAAAAAAAATTTGCTTCCGTTTTCTCTTGACTGAACAGTTGCTCAGTTCCCAAAGTTCAGTTCAAGGAAACCAAGCTTGATCCTAGGTTCTAAACCATAAATTTCTCTTACCTTAGTTCAGTAGCCTAAACTGAATTCTACATGAACTCTTGCCAAATCCAGTGCTACTTGGTTTAACTTTCAATTCCCAGCAGGAACAAAAGTTGATGCCCCTTGCTGAGCTGCTCTTGGTATGCTCCTAGCATTAAAAGGAGTTTTTACAACAAGTACAAGTAGTCCTCGACTTATGATCATAATTGAGCCCAAGGGTTCCATTGCTAAGCAAAGCAGCTATTAAGTGAGTTTGGTCCCATTTTACAACTTTTCTTGCCATAGTTACGTGAATCGGTGCAGTGATTAAGTGAATCATGCGGTCGCTAAGTGTATCTGGCTTCCCCCATTGATTTTGCTTGCTGGAAGACAGCTGGGAAAGTTACAAATGGTGATCACATGACCCTGGGACAGTACAACTGTCATAATCACATGCCAGTTCCAAGCCCCCAAATTTTGTTCATGTGTGTATGGCAGTGTTTCCCAAACTTGACAATTTTAAGGCATGTGGACTTCAACTCCCAGAATTCCACAGCCAGCAACGCTGGCTGTGGAATTCTGGGAGTTGAAGTCCTCATGCCTTAAAATTGTTAAGTTTGGGAAACACTGGTGTATGGGATTACAGGAAGGCTGCAATAGACATAAATGTGAAAAATCAGTCAGGAATCACCTTTTTTCAGTGCCATTGTAACTTCAAATTGTCGTTAAACAAATGATGGTAAATCGAGGACTACTTGTAAATGCCAAGCGAAGAATACTAGAGGAAGAAAATGAAATTAAATACTAATTTAATCCTTATACTGTTCTAAAAGAAACTGCACAGTATGCAGTTTCAAAAGGTTCCTCAGTTCAGAGTTCAGCAAGTTATTTCCTTTCTATGTACTACTGGTTTGCATATATATAGTTAATATATCACATAATGTAATTAAAATTAGTTGATACAGATTGTGTAGAATCCATCCATCCATCCATACATACATACATCTGTCTGTCCGTCCATCTTTGTTGTAGTGATTGACACAGAGCCTATCATAAAACAGCTGTTTTCTTTTTCAGGCATCCATATGAGCCTGAAAGTAATGTCTTTTTTCAGTTCTCCACTGAAGCCTAAAAAGATGCTTTAATTGATAGTAGATAGGTGCTGTGTATGCATGAGGTCTAAAGCACAGGCCTACTGTATAAGATGTGTGTGCTCCTTGAATTGTAAATACACCAGAAATAAATAAGTGTGCTTTCAATATAAAAAGGTAAAGTATTCAAATATGTCATGTTTGGAATCAGATATATTTGAGGACAACTCCAGTATTTTAGCAAATGTTGAAATATTTATATAACATTTGCTTCCCCTTACTTATCCTTTGTTTAAGTAGACAGAGCTACATCACTGAAATAAGCAAAAGAATTTAGAACAATAAAAATGTTGAAAGTTACCCTTCTTGGACAGTAGGAAGCATTAAATTCATCTCCAATACGTCGTAATTCCTGTGCAATCCATATTTCTGGCTGCATATCCTCAGGTATTGGCCGTGACTGCCATCTGGAAGCTGCATTGAAACAACACAATTTTCTTTTACATTTCCATATTCATTCCCCACAGTGCCCATGCACTCAATGGTTTTACTACTTCTTTCTCTTAAAGTTATAATAATTTAATAAAGATAGAGGAAGAAAATTAATTTATATTAAAGATGTCATTGTGGTATCTAGAATTATATTTTATATTAAAGATATATTATCTATATTCCTTTATTCATTATATCAACTGAATCTATTAAATTGTAATTTTTTTCACCTAAAGTAATAGTAAATTGTGCAAAACTATGTCTTTCCACTCAACTAGGATCAGACTCTTTTACAAACAAAAATTTACAAACAGCTCCAACAGCTATCTGGGAAATAAAACTCTAAAATACCAGTAAAATAGTATACAAATAGTCCTCGACTTAGGACCACAATTGAGCCCAAAATTTATGTTGCTAAACAAGACAGTTAAGTAAATTTTGCCTCATTTTATGACCTTCCCACAATTGTTAAGTGAATCACCGCAATTAGGTTAGTAATACGGTTGATAAGTGAATCTGGCTTCCTCATTGACTTTGCTTGTCAGAAGGTTGCAAAAGGTGATCACATGACCCCAGGACATTGCAACCATCATAAATCAGTCAGTTGTCAAGCATCTGAATTTTGATCCTGTGACCTTGAGGATGCTACAACAATCATAGGTGTGATAACAGTCATAAGTCACTTTTTCAGTGCCATTGTAACTTTGAATAGTCACTAAATGAGCTGTTGCAAGTTGAGGACTACCTGTATAAAGAATCACAAAAAACCCCCCATACAATTAAACAGAACAAAAAAGCCCCAGAGGATTATCTCCCCCAAATGATGAAATGAATCTACAACATGGAACTTTATATTCTGATGTCATGCTTATTTAAATCCCAATTCCCTCACGAGTCAGTAATCAACAGTAGCACTTCTACCTGTCATTTCTGATAATTTCCAAACAGCACATAATACATTATCTCTGGACTAAACATTAGAGAATTATGATTAAGTTTATGATTGTTCACTGCCCAGGGTCATTTGTTTGAAATGGGCATCTACAGAAATAAATATTTACTTTAAGCTCTGTAACCATGCAAAATCTGAGGAACAGTTTCTCATAAAAGCTAGCATTGCAGAGATGCTGTTAAAAGGACTGCATATCACATTAATCAAACTAATAGTATGTACTAAATTTATTATGGCTCCCAAATTATGAGATGTTTGAAACCAGGTTTACAGCTGTCTTCCAAATTATGTTTAAATGCACTCTTTTCAAAGGTCAAGGAGCATGCTACTTTCTGCTCTCAAGTAAATTTACTCTAGAAGATGTCAAGCAGTTTCAGCTCAAACAGTATATAGTCCTTAACTTATGACTGTTGTTACTGGTTACTTAACTATTCAAAGTAATGATAGCCTCCAAGTCAGTTACAACCTAGATTCATACTTAAAAACTGCCCCATGGTCATATGATCACAATTGGCATATTGGTCGATCACTTTGCAACCAGCTTACATTTATAATAGTTGCAGCTTCCTTTAGTCATGTGATTGTGATTTGGGAAGTTTTTTGCCGATTTCTAACAAAAAAACCACCATTAGTTAAGATGAATTTACACTTAGGAATTTGATGATTCCACTCTCAAACTGTAGTAAAGTGGTCGTAAAAACAGGTCTGATTATATGCTAAGTTAGGATTACAACAACTTAATGGGAATTCCAGTCCCAATTGAGGTTGTAAATCAAGGATTATACATATCTGTACTCACAGATACACTGAATACATGTATTCAGAACAAAAAAGGAGGCAGTATAGTCCTTAAGTGCCACTTGAGACAATTACTTTTTCTTAAGACATGTTGAGTTTAAGGAAATATCTATTTTAAGCATGCAGGCTCAGGTAACTTATTCACAAACAGACGCTGAAGCAAGCCATCAAACTCATATAGATGATTTGTTTTATTCCTTACAAATCCTTCATCAGAACTCATCTTTTCCTTGAAGCGGCTGGCACAATACATTGATTCCTATGCCCAGTTACAACTTAGCTGTTAACCAAGGCATATGTATAACAAAATAATGCATATTTCTCTCATATATTCTGCTTTATTCCCCTCCTTCCTCTTGTTTCTCTAATAATATAGGGAGTCTCTGTGGGTATTACTCCGCTAGTTGTAGCTAGTTGTAGTGGTCATTTCTGCTTCTTTAAGCCATTGAGCCAGGGCTGTCTGAAGATGTTTCTGCAGTCATGTGACCTGCATGACATCACATTGCAGCACAAAATGTACAACGAAACATGGAACATTGTTATCCTAATAACATAGTGGTTGCAAATTCCTCAGTGTGCAGAATGTGGATGAAGAAAAAAACTGACATAATTTAAAAACTGTACTGGGATTAGGATGCCCCTAGGTTCATAAATTACACTAAATGTGGTCCTTTTTTGACTCAATACAAGTTATCCTTGTTCAGCAACTGCAATTGGTTCCAGTGACTCAATCATTAAGCAAAGCAGTCACTAAGTGAAAAATCTCATGATTTTTCTTTATTTTGTTTTTCCTTTGCTTTGCAGAGTCGGAAACATACAACCCCTAAACAACTTGGTAAGCCCAAATGGCGGAGGTTTCCAGAACTTCACTCATGAGGAAGCCAGGTAAACGGGAAATCTTCTAGCTTTCTCCTCCCCTTTGGAATGCTTACCCTGGGGCTGGGATAATTAGTAAGAAGAGAATTAATATTTGTATACATTCATTGGAAAAGATTACCTGGGAGTAACCAGATACACAATGCAGAATAGACATTGAAAGGAATGTGGTAGCGTTCTTGAGACTGCAAAACGCCGGCCACTTAAGAGGCAAACAAAAGCCTTTAGCATGAAACTAATTAAGAGTCTTGTGTCAGACACAGCCTCAACTGGCCTGAAGGTTGTAATCAACTAATTAAGGCCACAGAGTTGAGCTTGTTAACCTATGTGGTTAGCACTTTTTAGAGATGTGCTGCAGCACAGAGGAAAGCAACTTAGGAACAGATAAGGCAATCTCTCGGCTCTGTGAAGAGTGAGAAGGGGAAAAAAGGAGTCAGGTACAAGACAACAGGTACTAAAATGTGACTGAGAGATGCTGCAAAGCCTAGGAATTCTGGCACTGGTCACAAAGATAATGGTTGCTGCCTAAAGCAGTCCCTAAATAACGTACAGGAATCCAGCTGTTATTATCTGTAAACTAAGTTTTATGGGTGGTTGTTATTAAGTCACTAAATTATGTCCAATTCTTCATGAGCCCATGGACCACAGCACACCAGGCCTCCTTGTCCTCCACTGTCTCCTGGAGTTTGCCCCAAATGTTTTATGGGTACTATATATGAATCTACCCAATGATGTACACCATATGTGAACATAGCCTATGATGTACAAGAGGCAATCTTAATTGTTTTGAGATTAGTATGTTCTTACTAGACATCTGAGGGGATCTTCAAATGAAAGCATGAACTTTTAATTCAATCACATCAGAAGACTTTATCATTTGTAGGGAGAGTTCCATACATCAAGCGCTTGGGTCATTTTTGATATAGGTAAATAAAGGTTTATATCTTGCTTAGGCCAAAAACACTATTTGGTATCTAATTATTTGTCATTAGATATGAAGATAAAGAAAACTACTGCCTGGCAATTGTTTGCATGTATTAATGTAGGAGTGCTGATAACATTATCATAAAGCTGTAGTGTCCATAACGAAACTCAGTGATGTCAAAAGGCTACATGTGTCATAATGCAATCCCACTAAGAATACAATTTCATAATTTGAATAATCTTGTCATTTTCTCCCGTATCACTCAATTCTGGCCTAACTTCTTCTGCCAACAAAAATGAATAGAGAATACAGGCACATATAACAGCTCTTTTTACACAAATTATTCCACAAACTTGGCATTAAACTCTTTATAAGGTTCATAAGGGAATATCCATAACTCTCAATCTCACAACAATCACTCGCAAAGCAGTGAAAATGCTAAGCAAATGTGCCTGGCTGCAAACTGGGTGGAAAATTTATTTCAAAGCCAAACTAACATTTCATTGGCCTACAAATGTATTGTTTTCACATTATAATTGAGAAAGACTATTATCAGATTTCACAATAAGAGTTTATATCAGGCTCAATATTAGTGAGTTGCTTACTAAGCTGAAATTCATTCCACAGTCAATTCATTGAGTCATCCAATACTGGTTGACTCAATTCCTAATTTTTCAATCATTTTTAAGGATAACTAGCTTAATTCATCATATCTGAGGAGAGTTTTTCTACAATTATATTACAATGCCACTTTTCCTGCCTAAATTTAAACTACTTAATTCTAATTTGATCATCATACCTGTACAGGTAATTGTATACTAATAATACCATCATAGAAATCAAAACAATACTCAAAATGTTCAACAGTGGAATGGAAAGGACAAAGCAAAGTAGCATTTAGCAGTGTTTGCAGGATTTGGCTGATTTTGATGTAATGAAAAAAAAAACAGCTTCAGTGCTACAACCTCTGCCCCTTTGGGCTATTCAAGCAATGTCACAACATATATAGAAAGGGGTGAGGCTTGCATCACAACACCACAATGCTGGGGGGTTTTTTGGTCTGATCCGTTTTGCGTCTCCTGTGGGACATCTATGGTATACCTGTATTCCTTGAACTACTTCAGAGTATTCTCTTCCTAGTTCTGAATCTATTCAGTTGCACTAGCCAAACAAATATCTTATTTATGAATGAAGAGATGTTAGCTGGGCTATTCAAGATTACATTGAAACAAACAACATCATTAGAAGACTTTTAGATGAAAGTGCACAGAAAATAGGAACTTAAGTGAAAGGGCACTGAAGATCTTAATAGCTTTTGTTTCAGCACGCAAAATAACCAGACCGGCAAAATAACCAAACTTGTGTTATTGAAACAGGCTGAATGTTATGCAAACTTTTAAAGATTTTCTTTAAACAAAAACACTCCAGACACTGACAAAATATACCAACATATACAACTTGTGTATTTCCCACTATGATGTTTATTTAGCTAATGGATTGTGCATAATGGGAAGGAAAGCATTAAATGATATTTTATTTCAGTATATACTTTATTTCCCCCCTCTTTAAGGAAACCATCACAGGATTACTTTATTAAAAATAATCTTATTTGCTGTTCTGTTATTCAACTTGCATTCGAATTAATGAAACATATAAAAACAGTTCTTCCCAACTCTAACCCTAATATATCAGAACTACTAGTATATCCCCTGGTAGTACAGAGCTATGTATAAGAAAATCCCAAACTATAAAATGCCACTCAAGCAAGTTCCAACACCAATGTAGTATTCAAGTTACGTACGTGACATCTAGTGCCAGCCAAAATATTTTGATGCCTGAGGCAGAAAATTGGCAAAGCAGAAATTAGAGCAACCATGGCCAAAAATAATACTACTATTTCTGCCAATGGGAATGTGTATAGGTACCTCAGCAGTCTGAGAAATAAAGTATAGCTTCAAAAATGTCATCCCATGATCTGTTTATAAGCAGCTCGGAGGTTTCTGGATGAAATCAAACTAACTAGACCAAGAAAGTAATATCACTTTGTATTTAATAATGTAGCACCTAATTTCAGTAGTAGAAAGGACTTTTCAAAAAGAATGAAATTGTTAAAAAATTAAAAAATGTTATACTATGCAGTCTCAAAAAATAAGAATTTTTTATTAGAAAAATTTCATTAGAAAAAAAAGACAACGATTTACTCTGTCTTCAATTATATAGTGAGAGTTCTGCATATACACAGAAATCAAACTATACCAAGAACCTGGAGGATCAGAGACTGAGAGCCACCTGCTTAAGCTTTGTATATCACTTGACAAGATGTTAGTTTCACATAATCAGACAAAAGCAGAAGTGTTCAACTCGCTACCAAAATCATATAAACATATAATAGGACCTATGGGACTACAAACGTATAAAAAAGCCTTAATTGATTCTAAATGACAGTTTCTGTAAGTCAAGAAATTAATATAAATGTTTCATGTGGTTAACCATGAAATCAATCTGAGGTTTTCATAAAGGACTTTCTGTGGGGCTGCAAGATCAAAAAGATTAGGACTGTCAAGTCATTTAGTTATGCAAAATACAAATAAATTTTCTAGTCATAATATCCATTCAAAATACTGAAACTATATTTAAACAATAGATATGTCACACTGCCTCATTGAAAAAAATGCAATCATTACTGTAAAGATGTCCATCATGCACTACAATGTATCTGTTCTATTATATACAATACCCTTCTTGCTAGTTCTCAGGATAACTACCACAATAAAAAAAAAGTTTGAAATGTGTCTACATCACCACTCTCATAAAAATTGTCACTATAATAAATGTTTCAGTAAAATTCTGGTTAATTTGAATAAATATCACATAGGCAATATTTAAACATCAAACATAACATTCTGCCAAGCATAATTAACTTAAAGTGGTTATTTCTAGCTTATCTTCTCTATTGCAATAATCCCTTCCTGATCTGCCAATCTCTAAATCACTTTTGTGCAGGGTACCTTGAATCAAAAACATTTGCATTATATAATATATAAACCTACGGTATGTCAAATGAGGCATTTTCTGGAAATATCAGGAAATGATCCTTGAAATACTTCTGAAATACTTCCAATCTCACACAAGAGAAATGCAGAAAGATAGTATGTAATCATCTCACCTGCATACTATTAAAAACTACAGTCATGACAAATATTAGAATTGGAACATGCACCCTATGTCAGCAATTTAGGAGCATTTATATTTTATTTTGAAAGTAGCTTAGGATTTCATTGAAATAGTGATATTAATACAGTGGAAAAGAAATGAGGATCCCACATATGAGATCTTTTATTTTTAAAAAAGTGTTTTGTTCCTCCCACTCCACCCCCCACAAAAACTCCAAAGCTGCTGCTACAGAGAAGCCCAGGTATTCCACCTACTCCAGGCATTGCTAATACAAGCTCAGAAAACCTAGTAGGAAAGCAGTAAAACCTAGTTGTGCTAAACTTACAAAAAATTCAACACTTTATCCATTATAACCAATTTCTCAACATAACAAATAATACAAATGTAGTTCTCAATCCGATTAAGCATATAAGAAAAAAGAACGGATGCAGGTATGCATGTAACTTGGAGAAAACAGAGGACAGGAATCTTTCAACATTCTTAGCATAATGAATTGCTATACGCACAAGGGCAACAGTCGCATTAATTGGCAACACACTGAACAGCTGCTGGAACTTGATGCCACAGTAATCTGAGAAATGAAGCTGAACTCCATGCTTTGGGAATGAATTGCATACATGCTTTTACTAACCCCTTATAGGTTATTTACATCACTTTAATCTCATAAATATACTTCAATCAAAATATAAGGGACATTAAAAGCAGTGTTTATAATATTCCCAAAATATTATTAATATTTGGTAAATTTTGCTTTAAAGTTCTTGTCAGGAAACAGAGATTCTTTCATTCAACCAAAAAGCATTTAAATCACACAACTGCTAAGAGCCAAAAAATATGGTGGAATGACATAGAAACACAGGAAACTAAAGATAAAAAATATTTTAAACATATTTGACTCATTTCAAACACAGTATGAAAAGCATAGAATCAATATGAGTAGCCTATAGTAGAAAGCTCTTTATACCATATAGGATTAAGATATAAAATTCTTAGAATATATTTATATTATTATAAAGTGGTCTATTTGAACAATATTGTGAATGTATCAATGTTTTAAGAAAACAAAATGCTTGTACAACAGCTTCCCTAGCCTTCAGCTGCTCTGAAAAAAATTTTTTTTGCTTACGTTCTCCTCATAAATGTTACACTAATTGTGGAAATGTACACAATATTTTGAAACTCCAAGAAGTATAACTAAAACCTCATGGTTTCTGATCAGAGCAGTGGAAATTAGCATCTTCTACACTCTATAGCACTACTGTATTTGAAGCAGATTGTTTTTCACAAAAATAAAGAGATCAAAAATTATAACCAGCCAAGTATTATTTTTTCAAACTTTGATCTTTTGTTTCTTTGCAAGAATTTATTACAGGTATGGCCACGTGCACTTCATTTCACATTAATCTATATATACTAAAACTCTCATGTATGTAACTTTTAATTGGGTGAAACGGTGCATCATAGGGCAAAACATTTTGAAAAAAGATATCTCAAATGGGCTAACTTACAGAATGTGTCCAAAATCCAAGATCCATAATTTCCATATGATAGAAATTTGGCAAATTTTATAAAATATTTTATGACTTAATTAAAAATAACATATTTCCTGTAGACAACTCCTGAAGTTTGACTGTGCTATACAATTCAACATGGGCTATTTTTCAAGACAGATATATCTCTAAATATCCTCCTAAACCTTTCCGAATTTTTCAAATACATTATAAGCTCTGCCACCATTGAAGGCATTGAGGAATCTGGTAAGGAAATATCTCTGGAGTGATGATCTTTGGGTCATGGATTGTCTAGTAATCGTATAAAAGCACTAAGTGTATTAAACTCTTCAACTATTCAAACAAATTTTGAATGTTGGCTGGAATGTTTGAAATATTTTACTATGTAAGACTGTTGATGTAACAAATAGCTAATTATTATACTGAATTTGAAAATTAAATTGTACAAACCATAATTATGAATAGATTTCCATAATCAAGCACGAATGCTAAATATGACTATTTACTTTTTGTTCATTATTAAGCATCTAAATCATATGCAATATCAGTCATTGGAGCATCATCTTCTTTAACAGGATGAAAATCCTAGTAAGAATCTAATTATATTGTTTTGTAAGTCTATTCCTCAAAGTAGAACAGCTGAGATAAACAGGTAAAATAAATTACCCACTTTTTCTTTTATCCGTTCTCTTTTTTCACCTCTACAAAACAATTCAAGAAACTGAGAGTTGGCACAGAGGTACTTCAGCTACTACCCACAAAGCAAGTAAATCTGTGCTTCCAATTGTCAACAGAGGCTGGATTGGAGTCAGAAGGACCTCTAGTGAATTTCAGGAAAAGTAGCAACTGGGAAAGAATAAGGCAAACCCTGCCACAACTTTCCTCATGCAAGCCATACCCATTCAAACCAGAAGCAGTTTTTAATAGAATCGTAACTATGAGGAGAAAAGCATATATTACAAAGGGGTTATGTATAATGCAAAAACCATTTAGATATATATATATATATTTTTTGCCAACTTGAAATCTATGCCAATACTTTGGCCATTGATCAAGGGTCTTCACAGAACTGAATGCTGAATAAATACATAAAAGAATATTGTATCTATCATGTCTATCCTGGCACTTTTATAATAAAAAGTTCAATGCCAATTTTTTGGAATATAATCTATATTTACCAGAAATCATTTAAGCAATCTACAGAAAAAGAACATGTGAATAGTGTGCATCTCATAGCCATTTTTTAAAAACAAGGTATCTTTTCCTTTGTTCATCACATACGAAGTGTTGGATGTAATTTGGCACAAACAGTATGTCATCTTGAGGTGAAGATTGCTCCTTCTGTGAAAGCAGGCATTCTTTTTGGTGAGCTTGTACGACTTGCAATAGTTTCAGAAAACAGACAAACTGGGCAGCAATATAAAAAAAAAGAACAAGCTCCTTTTTTGACTCAATTAATTTACACTTTCAGCATAACTGGGCAGTTTTTTTAGTCTACATTACTTGTTCTTTCTGTTGTCATTTCAAATGAATTTTCAATGTTCAATTGGCTCACATTATGTATCCCAATTAGTATCATCAAGCACTGTTTCTTATTGAAAATAGGAAAGCAATGTGTTTATATTTAAAACAATTCAAACATAAGATCAGTTTTACCTAAAATATAAAGGATTATATAAACAGCACAATGCAGAAAAACTCCCCCTTATCATTTTAAACTCAGATGTAAACTTTGCCTGAAGCTGCAAGAAAAAGATATTCAGAACTTTAAAAAGAAAAAGACACAACAAGAATAAAATCTTGATTTAAACTTATCATAAATGAACATGATTAAAATTCATAATCCCAGTTACTTAAGTGAAAGATGTGCATTTAACTTGGCTAGTTAACTCTAAATGGTTCATTCTGCATAATAATTTCTCATACAGGGGTAACAAACAATAAACCGTATTTAAGGTATCACAAGTCATTTGTCGGGGGTTTTCTTCAAAAAAATTAGCACAGATAACTTTTAAAAAGCTTTACATTAAAGCAACAAAAAATCAAGTTGTAGACTTAAAGGCAGAAAAGAAATCCTAAGAACTGGCTCAGAATAATAAAACTACATATAAAAACTAGAACAAGAACAAAAACAAAAATCTGTCATTTTGTACTTCCAAGCTATCTCCTTTGAGGTTTTTAAAAACCACATTGCAAGACTTGACAATCTTCACAAATCACTTGACTATGGTGAGTTTGCACGGCTTATAGTAATCATTGGTTTGAAATTATTTAGTTAGTTTTTGAATTTCATAAAGATCCAATTATTTTTTGGTTAATATTTTCAAAACTCATTTGCCCATATTCATTTTTAAAGAAATTTGTAAACTAAAACATCCATTCGAAGAATAATTGTTGACTGCCAGGTTCCATCCACACTACGTACTACATAAGCCTTACATACTTATAAATTGTATAGATAGAAGCCATTTTACAGGTCTGCTGTACTTTAACACTAATTTTGTTCTCCTACACTATTTCTAGAATGTCTGCAGAAGGTGGGCTTGATATCACAGAAGTCCTTATAGCTCCCAAATAGTTCTCTGAAACTATGTTTATGTTCTGTTCTAGAGGAGTAACTTGATTTATCAAAAATACCAAACTCTTCAACTTAGAAAATAAACTCTTACATCCTTAAAAATCCTATGTGTATTGTTCACGGCATACATTCTATTCAACAATCCTAGCATCTGCAAAATGTGTAAGATCGTTTTTCATTATCACCATTAAACAAAATCTGAGCCCATCTGTACAATCATAGAACTGTAGAGTTCAAAAAGATCATGTAGTTCAACCCTCCCTAATGTGGTGGAAAAACAATTAAACCATCCATGAGAGGTGGTTCATCCAGGGATGAAGAACCCACAACACCCTAAGTAAACTTCTTCTTTCTTCCTGGCAGGGTCCATTTTTTCACATCAACAGAGTGCTGATTGATCAACTGAGAAAGAAATTGACAAGACCTGCTTGTCTCCAGAGGCAGATATAGTGTACTGGAGGGACTGACCCAAAGTCACCCAGATAGCTTTCATACCTACAATGGAACTAGAACTCACAGCTTCCTAATTTCTAGCCTGGTTCCTTAACTATCAGACAAAACTGGCTCTCCAAAGTAACTATTCCACATCTATACTGATTTCACCAACAGAAAGCTTTTCCTTATATTAAAATAAAGCTAGGTATCTACAATTTATGCCCATTATTTCTGGAACCAGTTTCTTTGGTAATGAAAATTAATTCCTGACCAGCTTCTATATGGTACTTTTTTATGTACCTGAACAAAACTGAAGAATAGCTATATCATTTAAGCAACAAAGAAGATAACACATCATCTTTGATAGCTGCTCTAAAATTGGATTTTTCTCCTTAAAAGGTCGGATAAATCTATCTTCTACATGAATACTTCTTCATATAATTTCATTTAATAAAATAATTTAAGATGATACGTTCAATTTTCTTGTTACTTTCATATATTATATAAAGGCAACAAATACAGGAGCTGAATCATTTCTAGTAGAACCACTGGCATAACCAATTGAACACAAGCAGGCTGCTGAAAATACTCAGCAATGTACATATTTGACATCCAATAACATGCAATGCTCCTTTTCTACTTGTTAACTTCATTCTTTACTACTGTTGCCATCTTTCCCCAAACAAAGCTCCTCTGTTTTAACAGCTGTAGTAAGTGTAATTTTCCCCATTACTGCACTTCCTCACCAGAAAAAGCAGTATTTTAAAAATGCTACAAAACCTTTATGATTAAAGCTAACAATTGCTTGCATTACATGTTATCTGCAGTATTTTAAAAAAATCATTCATTTTATGCTTTACATATTGTCACCATTTACCACCTAATCAATAGGCTGTACAATTTCCTGAGATGTATTCAATATTCTAATCTTTCAGCTATACTAGGCAAATTAAGCCCCAACAGAATCTATTTTAAAAACCAAGGGATTTTTTTTTCCTCTCCAGATTCTGATTGGTAGAATTTTCAGGAAATACTTTCAGTTTCCATGGTAAAGAGTGGAAGGTAAACATGCCTGCAATATAAGGTTAAGATGCCTAAGCCACTTTAAAAAGGGTATATGCTCTTGGGAGTATACTGGCTTAAGTGCATATCTTTGCAAAGTAGCTTCTCTTACTCCTAGGTTAGTGCTATATAAACACTGCACTCAAAGCAGGAAATCAGCTATGCTGAAGTACAGGGAACAGGATGCACTATAACACCTCATGCATATATATCCCAAATGGGAATCAAGTAGGAACATACTTGAATCAATTTGCAAAACACTTAATTGGTGTTAACCTTTGTTCATTAGTCAAGCTTCTTTTTAAAAGAATATTGGACTGGACCATCATAACAAAGATGTTCTTTTTCCAAGAAGAATTTGTGTGTCTAATGGGAGGCTGCTATTACATGACATAAAGATACTTAGCAAACAAAATTAAACATTTTCATTTTCAAAAAAATGTAACTAATTTATTTATTTCAAAAAGAGAGGAAGACTGATGCAGCTTAAAGCAGCAATGGTTCAGCATCCTGTACAGAAACTGTATATTGTAGTTATCTGAAAGCACCCACCCACTATTTTTTTCAGGAAAAAGAAAAATACTTTAAAAAAACCCTCCATTATAGTAAAAGAAAATTTAGAACTCAGTTACCCCACACATCTCTGCTCAAATTATACAAAAAAATGTTCTGAAAACCAATTATTCATTCAGAAGCCAAATAAATCCTATTTTAACTAGTACAAATCCATTGGTTATAATCCTCATTTAGGGCCAAACTATAGGGATCATAAACACATTGCTTCCCATTTCTTCTAGTTTTCACTAATGGAATGAATAGGCACAGGAGGCCCACTCTGAATAATAGCATTGACACTCAACACTATATGCCCCAAGATGGAAGTGCTTTTTGGCATCAATGGAAACTTCCATCCTGGAGATAATAAATGTGAGACTGTGATCTTCACTTGTATCATAATAAAGGAATAAAGATTTAAAATCAATTCCTGGGTTCACTATAATCCTAATCCTTGACAATCACCTCCATTCTACTACATCATTTTCACATTCACACTACAAATGACATTTATATGCAATAATAGAATTTAGATTTTACTTCTTCCAAAACCACAAACATGAAAATACTCTCCAAACAAAAGGGCACAATTATATTTTCAACAAGCTATAAGCCAATTTCAAATTCATTCTGATTCTCTCCCCATGTTTTTCTATATTACAAAAAGTTATCCTTATGAAAATTTATCTTTTTATTTTCATTCTAATTACTTTCATTTTCTTTATGCAAGTGTCAAAACATTTTCTATTACCTGGTGACCTTTACAAAGAACTCCATAAATTGGTCAGTACTCTTATCCTATTCATCATGAGAGGGTTATTAGCTGCAAAATTTTCAAATGCTAGGATTTATGTATTACATCGGTACCCTACCTTTCCTTCAAAAAGCTTCATGTTCTCTTTATTTCCCCTATGTATATGCCGATAAAGTAAGCTTAAGCTGAAAGAAAATGATGAAATCAGGATCCCAGTAAGCTTGAGGGCTGGGTAGGGATTTGAACCTGTATCTCCTCTATCCAACGTTTTAATCAGTATAGCTTGCCTTGAACTGGAGTTCTGTTACTACACAAGACAAATTATTTCTTAGACCAAAGCTCCAAACCACACACGCAGGCTTCAAAAGGGAGTAGGAAGTGTTGATTGTATTTAAAAAATGAGCTAAAAGTTTCTTACCATGCTCTTGCTTACCCATTGCACTTAGATAATGATTGATAGCTTGACACGGAGGACTTGGAGTCTGTGTAGCTTTGTCACAATTCATAGGTGCAGAACTCCTGTCGATGTCAAAAGAGAAATACCCACTGGAGGATCTGGACAGCAGTGGGGATCTTCTTACAAACATGAACAACGGGGATCTGGTAGCAAATGGACTGGGACTGGAGGGTGGTACCAGTGGTCCCTGAGGGCTACCGGGTGATGAACTGTCCAGTTCACCCAAATGATTACCTTGATATTCAGTTTGTAAGGAGGTAGGGGCCCCAGGTCGAAGGTGAGGAGGCTGAGCTGGCCTTTCAGCAGGCTGCAATTGTCCACCTTCACTCTCACACTCAGAATTTAAATCAGAAGATTGTTTTGCCATTTGGTCTTTCTTTTTCACTAAGCCCTGGAAGAAATAAGGGGGGGGGGGAAGAGAAGAGAAAAACATCTCAAATTACACATAAAGTTCATTCAAACTTGATAACAGCGATGACTTGCAGTAGATAGAAATCACTATCAACATATTAGCATTGCAAATTCCATGACATTTTACATTCCCCACAGGATTTCAAATCTATTAATTAATCTTCATTCCCTGCATGTCAACAACTTTAAAAATAAAAGGCAGTAATTGATAAAGGTGTTTTGCTATATTCAGTCCAACATATCTCAGGGAGTAAAAAAGGCTTGTTGAAAAGAAAACAGTAACAGAAGTTTGTAAGAAAAAAAACCTAGGGGCCAACTAAGCAATATTCTAGGTCTCATCTTTTGAGGGGAGGGCAAAGGAGCCGACTGGCTTTCTTTTAAAAAGAAGGGAGAATGAAGTATTTAAGCTCAGGATCCGCACCCTCCAGCCCTCCAAGTTCTATACAGGAGAATCAGATACAGTGTTGAAATGTTAGAAGTAGATGCGGTGATTGTGCAGGACGGGGAAGTCGGCCAGGCTCTCGCTCCATTGTTCTATCGAAAATGCTGATCACAGCAAGTCTGGAAGGTTTGGCAAGAGCAATCAGTTGTAAAAGTGCGTCACAATAGTTTGTACACTGCAAAGTGCTCCTCTGTTCACTCCACCTCCCCTCATCCTTTTACGGCTACGGATCAAATCCTTCTCTATACTACACGCAGGGGAAAACGTCTCACTTCGCACCTTTAGAAAAAACACACTCTTTAAAGAGTTGTTTAGCGGGCGGCGAAATCAAGAGGAAAAAAGCATGAATGAGAAACGAAGCGCCGACAGGTCACCCCAGTCGCAAGGCAAGGATCGTAGACTGCCTCCCACCCGCCCACCGCGCTCTAACTCACCTTTATTTATTTTGCTCAAACGCCTGTGTCCCGCGACTGGACTAGGCGCTCACGCAAGCAACAACAGGTTGTAGAAAAGGCCAGCGCAAGCCAAGCATCCACCACCAAGTTGGGGAACCATCACAAGCAGGGAACAAAAAAAGGTGATGGTGTGGGAAGTGGCGGGGGGGGGGGCGAAACAGCCCCGCGCCGAGAGTTGAAAAGAAATCCAATTACAAGGCCAAGTCACCCCATTCGCCTCGGGAAGGCCTCTCCCTCGCTGCTGAACGACACCGGCGGAGAACTGCGGTCGGGGCCGCGAGAGACAGGTCGCTTCCCACCGAAAACCCAACAAAGGGAGCGCGAGTGCAAGGCAGGAGAATAACAGAGCCAGAAAGAGACACGCAAAGGGGGAGGGGATAACTAGAAGAGAGGGTGGAGACACGAGCGCACACCAAGATACCCCGGCCCCCAATCCCGCCCCCCGCCCTCCCCACCCCACCCCCCCCCAGCCGGCCGTACTTACCGCGTTAGGGTTCCTGAATCATCCCAGAGATAAGCCGGACCCTTCCCGGGCACCGAGGACGGTTGGGAGCGACACGGTCGCGCACCTTTCGGAGATTGCGCGCGTCTGGTCGCACGGACAAAACAGCAGCCAACCGGGCGACTGCAAGAGCCCCGCACTCTGACTGCCTCTCCGGGCGAAGAGGAGAGAGTCCTCCCCGTCGCCAATAAAAAGTAAGGCAGCAAGGCTAATCCCGCCTCGTTAGAGGCGGTCCACCTCCGCCCACAGCGCGAGGGCACTGTTTACATTTATATGCTGGGGGGGAGGCACACACGCACACGCACACGCACACAAGCGGTCTGCCACAACCCTGCGCGGCGCTGCGTCGCGGCCCGCCCTGCTCCTTCCCTCCTTATGTCCTCAGGAGCTTCCTGAAGCCGCCGCGGTAACGACGGCAACCGTGATCTAGAAAGGCTGCTGACTTGCAGCAGCCACGCTGAGCTCTGCTGTGCTTTCTCTACGGACGCCCACTTCCAGTTCTCTTCTTAAAACCTGCCAGCAACAACGAAGAAGAATCCGAGAGTCTAGCAACTGGCAACTCGTTTCCGTAGAGAAAAACGTTTTCGTTTGACAAAGGCAGAGGTGCAGCCGCATCCCGCAATATTTGTTACTTCCCCCACCCCCCACCAACAAGCTTCATAAAAAAAAAAATGAACCACTAGACTAGACGCCACCTCCTCCCTGGCTTAGAAGCTTCACACCCCAAGATGATTCATTCTGTCCAGGGAGAGAATTCTAGCCTTGTGGAAGAGTAGACATGACCAATGATTATGATTTGTATTTAGATGACTATCACCTAAACATTTGGAACAGCTTATCACAATAAAAGCACAATGCAAAATAGGAGCAAAAACATCAGAGGCCAGAAATACAATAATCTGGATAACGAGGTGCAGACTTTGAAATGAACTAAAAATCATGCTTGAGGGTCCAAGCAGGAGGAGTTCAGCAGAGAAGTTCTGCAACAATGGTGGCATCAGCCTCCTGGCATCAGCTAAACACAGCACCAGGACTTTTGTCCCCTCCACACTTCTCAATACCATGACCTTTATTCCAGAATATATCAGAAAAAAAAATTGTAGTAGATGATGCTTAAGGTATTACATATTAGCATCAGTATTTTGAGGTAGGTTCCAAAATAGACATCAGAGGCAGATCACTGAGAATGTGATTTTGACCATGCAGTACCAAACCATAACCAGGCATTGTGCATTAGCTGAAGCCTCTAACCATTCCAGAATGTGTTATAATATATATATTATATATATAATATCAGAATAAATTTCTAAGACATGGATTGCTAGGAAATGCTGCAACTAGTACATCATCTAAATCCCCCAGGGTGTCCCATAATAAAGCTGGACTGAATATGTATGTATTTATCAAATTTGTATGCTGCCTGACTGCCAGTGACTCTGGGAGGCTCACGATAACTGAAACAAGAAAATTACAATAAAACCAATTAAAAAGGAGGGAAGGATAAAGGAAAGCAAGAAGAACAGATTGAACAGAAACAAAGCAAAGGGTCTCACTGTCCCTTGCCAAAGCCCTGGGTAAAAAAAAGGATCTTCACAATCCTTCTAAACACCAGAAGAATGTGGGCTATCTGGATCTCAGGGTAGCTTCATTTCACAGGGTAGGCATTGCTACAAAGAATAAGTCCTTATAGATGACACTGCTTAATCAATGGAAATTGAAGCATGCCTATCCTACACAACTGAACTGGCCAGCAGTATGATGGAAGACAGTGGTCCCTCAAATAACCAGGCCCTGTGCAATGTAGGACTTTAAAAATTATGACACCCGAAAACAAATTGACAACCAATATGTGTCACAAAACAGGGATGTTATAAAGGCATATCAATATGCTGCTGTGATCTGGACTAGTTGGAGCCTCTGAGTGTTTTTCAAGAGCAGCCTTATGCAGAATGCATTGCAGTAATCAAGCCATGAGGTGACCAGAGCAAGAATGACTGTCTGAGAAGTCCCCAATCTAGGAAATGGTCAACTATTAAGTTGTATAAAGGCCTTCCTAGCCACCTGCTCATTGTGCAGAAGATATGAGTCCGGGCCAACCCCTAGATTTTGCATTGTTCTTAAATCGGAAAGTGCAACCTATTGTGCAAATGGAATAAACCCAGTTCTAGGTGGTCCAAACACCTACAGCCACTTGGTTTTGATAGGATTCAGTTGGAGAAGTACCTCCTCATCCAAAACTCACAGCCTCCAGGCACTGGAACAGAACTGTAACAGCCTCATTTGCCCAACCCATGGTTGAAAGATTCCAAAGCAACAGATGAGCTCACTCAATGGTTTCATGTAAAAGGAGGAGAGACAGAGAGTAAAACCCTGTTGCATCCTACCCACAAGGGGTTTAGGAAGTGATCTCATCCTTCAAACCAACACCAACTGGAGCTGGCTCCAGAGAAAGGAAGAGAAACACACAGAACTTGTTCAAAAGAAAACTGTGATCAATAGATTACTTTCAAGGCATGAGGTATCACTCCCTCCAACAAAGAGGGCAATACCACAGAATGGACTGAATTGCAGGCCATTTGCCTGGCCATCTTTATGACCCAGAGAGATCTGGATTCAGTAAACAGGTGGCCAAGCTAACAGCACAGAGAATCCTATCACTTCCTCAGTAGTCAGCAGCTTAAACTCATCCCAGACCATACTCCCAGATTGAAACACATGTACCTCAGCCTGCCCAGCCCAGTTAGTATCCAGTAGGAGTGAATTTCATTTTATTTGCTAGATAGCCTGAATAATCCTCAGAGCAGTTCACAGATATCCTGAAATGCCCTCCTACCCAACAGGGTCTAGGTCACCTTAAACCAGGCTGCTGGATGGCAATAAATTATTTCTTGTTCTTTCTGGGACACTGCAGATCATCTATAGCAGGATATGTTCTTACCTGTGAGCCTGGGAAAGTTTCATCATTAGTACCTCAACATACTTTCTGGATCCCTGCTCTGTCTTATCTGAGTCAGAGGGAATGTAAAGTCAGTCATCGGAATATTGATGGTGTTGTAGCCTAAATCTTTTGACTTTCCCACCAGACAGATCCCTCAGTACTCTGCAGCTTAAATGCCATAAGCTCAGCAACAGTGTTCTGCTGCTATTTTGAAAGCTGCCTGACAGAAAAGACTGTAATCCCTTTATTACAGTGCTACAAATTCTCACTTAGAGTCACTCCTGGAGGATACTACAATTAATATTTTCAAAAATAACTGAGAGCTAATAATCACAAGGCCACACTCCTCCTTCCTCTTCCCAGAAGAAATCATCCAGCAAAGTAGCTGAGGTAGTTTTAAATTAGATTGGAATGATCTAGCCCAATCCAATTCTTTCCCCTCCCAATATATTTGTCACTTTTACTGTTCTGGGTCTTAACATATTCTCTAAACCTCCCCAGCTCCATTCATCTTAATACATGATGTTCTTACCAAGATTACATCACTCCATTGATCAGCAAACACTCCCATCAAAAAAGGGGGAAAAATGGGGAGGGGAATCCAGCTTTCCTCATAGCAAATCCTTGTCCTATATTACTTGTTTTAAGATTCTCTATATGTGGAAATTTTATAAATATTTTAATATTGATTTACATTTTAAAATGTTTAACTTTATTTTTAATGATTCCCTGCTTTAATATGATTTTTAACATTATGTAAGTCATAAATTATATTAATTGTAAAAGTAAAATGACTGTTTGGGCCATAGGGGCATTTATTATCCACTAGCAACTTGCATCAATAGCCATCTTATACCTCCAAACAGGATCTCAGCAATTAGCACATTGACTACACTACATGGTAGCTAGGTTCACATAACAAATTAACATATAGTCAACTGAACAGTGGTTTACTGATCTATATAATCATTCATTCATTCCTCTATAGCTAACACTGTATTGTCCTGATTCAGCCATATAGGATTTCAGAAAGTGTTTTTTTTCCCTATGCTGTCCAATTTAAGCTTCCCAAAGACTTGTGACATGACATGCCATCTTTGCTTCTTCCAATCCCCTTTTGCTTTTACCACATCAGAAACTCTCTTCATCAGTCTTGCATTTCATTCTTACCACAACTAAGGGTACACACATCATTTCACAACAATATTCCACTAAATTCCTCCAGCATGAACCCCACACTTTGTTTTCACACAAAATCCACTGCGCCAATATTACTAAAACATGCCTTGCCTCAACACAATTAAAATGAATTCTCTTGACTTGATTCACACATTGCACTAAACCCTCATTTTGCTTTGCATGATAGGTAATCCAGAAGTGCTACATGATAGGTAACTCAGAAGTGCTATTTCTCAATATAAGAAACTCAGGTTAACCCCCTCATTCAACTACAAACTTGAGGGTTGGCTTCAAATATTTCTCAGCCTAACCTTCCACATGCAGTTGTACTTTTACAAGGTCTTTGGAAGATATGTAAGATAAAAAATCTACTTTAGCATTCTGTCTCTCACAGAGTCAATCCAACATATTTACAGTAGTTGGTTCACAAATAGGCCTCCTCAACTGATGCTTTCCGGCAGTTGGAATATATAGGTAGAATCCTTTTTTCACGAATTTGTTTAATCTCTTCTTGAAATAATTTAAATTAGTGGCTATTATTACATCTTGTGTCACAGCAGATGGCAGCACCTAGACAAACTTGCTTGGTTCTTGTCAAAAAAGGCTAAGCGAGGTCAAACTTTATTAATATTTGGATGGGAAACTATCAGGAAATACAAGGAGTGTAGATTGGGCTAAGAATTTTTTTAAAAATCCTACATGGAAATGGCAAATTGTATTATTGCCAACAAAACTACAAGTTCATGTAAACTGGAATGGTTTCCACCCCAACATTTCCACAGTGCTACACAAGCAGCACAGAGAAGGTAAACAACCCCCTCCCTCTCTCCCTCCCTCCCTATCTCATAAGCAATCTTTTGAAGAAAGGTCTTTTCTCTCCAACTTTATTTTTTTTTCTGCGTTGAAGATCGGAGGAACAGTACAGTACCCTTAAAGTTTAACAGAAATTAAATTTCTTCAGCTCCCCCCCCCCTTTAGTAATAGAACCAGTTCACCTACCAAATCATTTAACTTCCTCCCTTAGAGATGGGCAATCGGGGATTCACCACATTCTGACAAAGAGAAATGCCAGCACCTCTCACTCAACATCGATCCTGCTGCTGGGACAGCAAACGCTGTATGTTAGCAATATCTGGAGAGCTACAGTTCATCCGCACCCTCTTGAAAGGCTCTCCCATCCGTTGCAATGTCACGCTTTGAAAGGCCCCTGACCCTCCTCCGCTTCAGGCTGACTGAGCCTAGCAGGGAGCCTCAGTAGCCGGCGAGGAAGGGAGGAAGAGAGAGACAGACCATCTCCTCGCAGCTCGCTTCCAATCCCAATGTGGTGAATCTTGCTTGGGATTTGGGACTGAGAAGGGAAAGATCCTGGCTCCCAAGCCGCCGGGACTTCCAACCACAGAGCTTGCTTGGCTCTGTTCCCAGCCAGCGCCGCGCGCTCAAAACAACAACAGCAACAAAATGCTGCGGTCGAGACTTGCCCGCCTGCCTGGCTCCCGGGCTTCGGTAGCCAATCATTTGAAGCGAGCAGCCTCATCCGTGGAGAGAGAAGAGGAGAGAGTGAGGGCAGATGAGTTGAATTTGTGGCAGGGATAACTAGGGTTCGGGGAGATGTTAGCACGAAAGTTCTGCGTCTTTTGACTTACCTCGCCTTGTCCCTCACTGGTTCTTCGCCAGAACAAATCGCCCTTCTTTGAGGTGGCGCAGAGTTTCTCCCTCGCATGGTCGGGCTTTTGGTTTGGAGAGCCGAAAGGTCCGACCCAGGACTTCAGCTGCCTAATACACAGCAGTCACCCTCCCCCCCTCCGTCAAGGTACTCCTCTCACCTGAGGCAAGAATCTCACGAGCGCCTCCCCTTCCCTCACAGGACAATGCAAGTGTAACGAGCTAAGTAATTAGCAAATTGTTGCCTCGTAGGGACAAGAAAAGCTCTTGCCTGAAGTGGTGCCTTCTATGCCCTAAAGACTGGCGTGTAAAAACGCACGTGCGGGAACACGCATGCACGCACGCACGCAGGCGTAGAGCATAGAACTGTTTTTCCCATTCTCTAGGGTTGAGGATGACAGAATAACACAGTTGGAAGGGATCTTGGAAGTCTTCTAGCTCAACCCCCTGCTCAAACAGGAGAGGCTACACCATTTCAGACAAATAGTTGTCCAATCTTAAGGATAACAACTGTGAGCTCATAAGCAGAAATACTGTCTTTGGATCCTTCTTTGCTCTTATTTCTCCAATCTCTAAAGTTATGAATTTACATTCTTGCAAGGTAGCTGAGTGAACTGAAAGACATAAAACAAAAATGCTAAAAATGAATGTGTATAGATATGTACATTTTTAAAGGAAATTAAAAACTGGTTTTGTAGTGTTGTAATATTATAAAAAATATTCTCATAGTAACTTGGTGTGTGCACATATTTCTGTTTTGCTGTTATCAAGTAGTTACAAGTAGTCCTCAACTTATGGCCATAATTGAACCCAAAATTTCTATTGCTAAGAAAGACAGTTGTTAAGTGAGTTGCACCTCATTTTATGATCATTTTTGCCACAGTTGTTAAGTCAATCATGCAGTTGTTCAGTGAATCTGAAGAAGATTCTGGGAATCTGGGAAGATCACAAATGGCAATTACATGACCTCAGAACAGTACAACTGTCATAAATAGATGCCAATTGCCAAGTAGCCAAATTTTGATCACATGACCAAGGGGGTGTTGCAATGGACACAAATGTGAAAATCTGTCAAAAGTTATTTTTTCAGTGCTGTTGTAACTTCAAATAGTCACTAAACAAATGGTTGTAAGTCAAGGACTAACTGTATGTGTGCTTGTCAGATAAGTCAGAAACTTCAAACTTGTTTCTCAGAGGAAAATGTAGAATAAAAAACCAGCAATGTGAAATGCCTGCTAAAAATAAAAGGACATTTCATTATAGAAGTCTATAATGATTCCATATAGATAACTCTTAATGCCGTTAAACAAAAGGTTCTGTTAGATCTATCACTTCCCCACTACTATCCATCTCTATTCAATTGCCAAGGATGCATATTGGGAAACCAAGACTGAATATGATAGGTTGCATAGTGTTAGTCTTGAATATTGATGGAAATAGAGAATCAAGAATCTTCCAGGAAGAGTAACTGGGATTCTATAGGTTCAAAAGCAGTTCAGTGTCATCTGAAACCCATTTCTAGCTTGAAGGTAATATAAGTCAGATTGTTAAACATTATCTTCCTTTCTACAATGGTGAAGCTCAGTATATCTTGTAAGCAGTCCATTTTCTCATTGAAAGGAACTTTTGCTCCCAGTTGCTCTGAGAAGTTTTTTGAAGGTGATGTAACAGGCAAAATCAGTCCATTTCTCTCTTTCATTCCCCAATAGCTTTGGGTGAGTAGACCAATTTGAAAAGCCCCTAATTTGGTATTGTAAAGCATCTGATAAATTGGCCCTATGCTAAAAGAAGAGAAATCAAATTTTATTTTCAGAATAGGAGTAGGATCTTAATTATTGAATGAATCTCTTGGGAGACCAATTACTTTACCCTAAAATCCCTACATGGCTTGGAACTGGGATACCTGAGGGATTGCTTTTTTCCCAGAGTCTCTACCCATCCAACTCAATCCAGCAGAATGGGCATGCTGCAGATCCCGTCAGCCAAAGAATGTCGGCTGGCAGGGACTAGAACAGTGGTTCTCAACCTTCCTAATGCCGCAACCTTTTAATACAGTTCCTCATGTTGTGGTGATCCCCAACCCCCCATCCAGCTGTCCGGGGAGGGGGGGCAGGAAAGCCACTCTGCCAGCTCTGCCCAGCCTGGTTGGAGAAGCGCCATTCCTGTCCCTCTTTCTCTCTTTCTCTTTCCTCTTTCTCTCTTTCCTCTCTCTTTCTCTCTTTCTCTTTCCTCTCTCTCTCTTCTCATTCTCTCTTTTCTCTCTCCCTCTTTCCTCTCTTTCCCTCTTTCCACTTTTTTCTCTTTCCTCTCCCCCTTTTTCTCTCTTTCCTCTCTTTCTCTTTCCTCTCTTTCTCTTTCTCTATTTCTTTCCTCTTTTTCTCTCTTTCACTCTTTCCTCTTTCTCTTTCCTCTCTTTCTCTTTCTGTTTCCTCCCTCTTTCTCTTTCTCTCTCTTTCCTCTCTCTTTCTCTTTCTCTCTCTCTTTCCTCTTTCTTTTCCTCTGTTTCTCTCTCTTTCTCTCTTTCTCTCTTTTACGGCAGTATTGTCGGGGGATTCCCCGCCCAGCTGCCGCCCTGCCGCGTCCTCAGTTGAATGGGCGGGGAGGGGGAGCAGGATGGGAGGCAGCGGCGGTGGCGGTAGCACAGCAGCATTGTCAGGTTTCCTCGCTGCTGCCTCCGGCCTGGCCACCAGCCTGCCGCGTTCTCAGCCAAAGGGGCTGGGAGGGGGAGCAGGACGGGAGCCAGCGGCTCTGATGGCAGCAGCGGTGGCCCGGCAGCATAGTCGGGGTTCCTCGCCACCGCCCTTGACCTGGCCACCACCCCGATGCGTCCTCAGTTGAACGAGCAGGGAGGGTGAGCAGGACGGAAGGCAGCGGCGGTGGCACGGCAGCATCGTCAGGGTTCCTCGCCGCTGTCCCCGGCCTGGCCGCCAGCCCGCCGCATCCTTAGCCAAAGGGGCAGGGAGGGGGAGCAGGACGGGAGCCAGCAGCTCCAGTGGCAGCAACGGCGGCCTGGCAGCATCGTCGGGGTTTCTCACCACCGCCCCCGGCCTGGCCACCGCATCCTCAGCCAAACGGGCAGGGAGGGGGAGCAGGACAGGAGGCAGTGGCTCCGGTGGCAGTGGCGGTGACCCAGCAGGATCGTCGAGGTTCCTCACCGCTGCCCCCAGCCCGGCCGCTGCATCCTCAGCCAAACGGGCAGGGAGGGGGAGCAGGACAGGAGGCAGCAGCTCTGGCAGTAGCAACAGCGACACGGCAGCATCGTCGGGGTCCCTGCCACCCCCGCCCCAGCCGCCGCCCCCGCTGGGACTTCACGCTGCCCGGCCTCACCCTCCACCCATCGATGGAGCCGCGGTGGAGGCTGGGGGGCAGGAGGAGGAGGGCGAGGAAGCTGCCCGGCCTCACCCTCTGCTCATCCGATGGAGCTGCGGTGGGGGCTGGTGCCACACGGCCCCTGCCAGCCCCTCTGCCAGCCCGGCTGCTCTCCCCCAGGCACCCCTCTTGCCCCGCTGCCCGCCTGAGCCACTTTGGGGGCAGCAGAAGGAAGAAGGGGAGGAGGAAGAGGAGGGCAAGGAAGCTGCCACCAGCGCCGGGCCCCAGGAGGCAGCTCTCCTCTCCTATCTTTGCTGAATCTCTTTCTTCCTTCCCAGCAGCCTGGATTCCGGTGCGCTTCCCGGGCAGCGGGTCCAGTGGTCGGGCTGGCTGGGGATTGCAGGGGCTGGTCTCCCTGGGGCCGCGGCTTTCAGGAGGGCTGGCACGCTCAGCGGAGCCTCCAGTGGGCTGCTCCCAGCAGGGATCCCGGGGCTTCCCCGGGCGGCTCCAAGGTCACGAGGCCCTGGCCACGCTTCTCCCAGGGTGTGGAGCACCCAGGCACAGGACCAATCAGGAGCCCTGCAGGAGGTAAGTCCTCCTGATAGAGAGAGAGAAGGGAAGCGAAAGTGCCTCTCTCTCTCTCTCTACAAATGGCGGAGGAGGCCATGCGGAGATGGATGCGGAGCGGTGTCTCGGTTCCTAAGACCATTGGAAATATGTCTTTTCCGATGGTCTTAGGTGACCCCTATGAAAGGGTCATTCGACCCCCAAAGGGGTCACGACCCACAGGTTGAGAACCGCTGGACTAGAAGATGGGTTTTTTCCATAGTGGCTCCTGTTCTATGGAACATCCTTCCTTTGAGATTACAATGGCCCTAACCCTGTTAGCCTTTCTTAAGAACCTAAAAACTTGGTATATTCCCAAGCCCGAGATGCTAATGTGTTAAGGGCCCCATTTCCTGGCTGTATTGCTAACTGGCCAAGTTTTGTTATGTATATTTATTTTGGATATTTCTGTTTTGTTTTAAAATGTTTTTAGTATTTTAATTGTAATTTATTTTTGACTTGCAAGCCACCCACAGTCATTGACTGAGATGTGTGGCCATAGAAATGGAATGAATGAACAAGCAAGCAAGCCTTTTTGGGAAGCTCCTTACAAAAGCATTCGAAGTCATGAAAGGTTTATTTTTTCACAGATTCAACGATTTATTCATTATTTTAGTAGTTAACTACAACAATGGTCTGCTATATAATTCAATTCTTAGTTTTTGACTATTCTTCTAATGCAACTATTTCTCATCTTGAACAATATTTACTAAAGAATAGGTCTTATTCATTTTATCTCATAAGGTGAGGGTGAGTGGAAATAAATCATGCATATCTGGAATGAGGAATAAGTATAAAAGAGAACCAAAAAAAGCCTGCTACACCCAAATAATTCAATCCTACAGAGAAATGAACATGATGAAAAAGCTGTCATCTCCTTCAAGCTTTCTTCCTCTGGAATCTCCAAACACTCGACAACTGGGAGTGTTTTCTTTCTTTCTTTCTTTCTTTCTTTCTTTCTTTCTTTCTTTCTTTCTTTCTTTCTTTCTTTCTTTCTTTCCTTCCTTCCTTCCTTCCTTCCTTCCTTCCTTCCTTCCTTCCCTATGTCAAATGTGTGTTTCTGCCCATCTCACAAAAAGCAGTTCTGGGCAGCATACAACAATTGAATAATTCAGTTTCTTGGAATAAGTTACAACTTATTAGTCAACATTTGTTTCTTGGAGAATAGCGCTAACAATGAAATATATGAGGGATTACTTGATTTTAAGCTTCCTATTGTCTAACATTACCATTCTTATTTCTCTCTTCCAGGGAACGTTCTATTCTATATGAATATTTAATAC